CAGCCGCGGCTCGTGAGGCCGGCAGCGTGTCGCTACCCTCGCTCTTCCGTCTGACCAGCTCGCCGGAATAGAAGTTGCGCTGATCGTCAACAGATGCCTGATGGACGTCCATCACGCTCTTAGCGGACTCTGCGACAGGTCAGATCGATTGCCTTCATCAATATGGAGTATGATAGAATGAAGTAAGGTTGATAGGAGAACGATGAGAGAGGTCGGAGAACGATTATGAATTGAAGAGCTTATTTTTCAAAATCATGTTAGATTTCGTAAAAGGTCAAAAATGTGTTTCTAATAAATGTTTCTTCTTTTTGCAAAATTTCTAGCTAGCTTCTTATAATATACATTTTAAAATATCTACAGGTATGGATTTCACACGATTTTGGAAACAAGCTCTTTTTCAGTTATTCTATCATAAAATAACGGCATTAAAATGGTGAAAAATGATAATGTTTATTTACGCTTCGATGTAACAAAATGAATGATTTTGTGTAGTGTATTGAACAAAACAGAATTCGTTCTCATTTTCCTCCGTCATCATCACCGAGAGCCAGCGCGAGAAACGCGTTAAGCACAATGACATGATGATTATAAGCAAATATGAGCGTGAATGACAGTGATCGGCGTGATGTGTCTCTTAATGACGCACTCGTATAATAATTTCCCTCCCCCAAATAGTCTAATTTTTCTTGCCGTAAAAATCGCATTTTCCTTGTGTCTAGTGATTTCAACTCAATACATGAAACAAGTTGTCTAAGAAAACTAAGATTTTAAAGCAAATAACATCTAGATTAAAATCATTTAAACAAAAACAACAAGAGAGTTAACTAAAAAGAGAAGATTTTGAAAATGTATAAAGTTCTAATCTATAAAGAAATGTTACAGCTTTTCTAAAATTATATAGAATACTAATACACTTTTTTAATTAATTAAAATTATCCTCTCCTTCAATAGGTGCCTTTACAATAATATTGTGATAAGCTTTTTATTGTCACAAGCGGATGGAGATTAATTTAAAAAGACAAATACATATTATTTGGAATTTCGTGCGGAAACATTTTTATTTTAAAACTGTTAGGAATTCTTGCTGAAAAGTTCTTTTCTTGTTCTTCTTGTGGCTGTGTACACATATTGCTTCCCCAAAAATATTAAATATATTTATTTCTGAGCTTTACTTTTAAACGCCATATCGTTGAACACAGACATGACAATTGGAAAAAGCATTATTATAAAAAGAGCAAGTGGCCACGTTACCATAAATTCGCAGGAGCGAATCGAATCTGTATATCTAACTCATCCCATGTGCCATCAAGCTTAATCGTGCACAGAACCATAGAAGATCTGTTCTTTTTAGTCGCACTTTCCTACGTTCTCCGCATCAAAAACAAAAAGTAATATTTATTGAAATCTACAAATCTAATGAATCATTTATCGTATTTTTTTTTTTCGTTAAAATCAACATTTTAAAACAAATTCGATTAATTTAATTAAAAATTTTCAATTATTAGCAGTAAAAGCGCGTGAAAATTGAAACCGCAGAAAAGTATAGAAAGCGCTGCTAAAAGAAGGCCAGATCTGTAAAAAGGGATAGCGAAAAGATATATAAGAAAACAGACAGAGAGAAAGAGAAAGAGAGAAATAGAGTGTCGAGAGTTTGGTGATGATTGTTGTCTTACGATCTTCGTCTCGGCTCGTGTTATTAATCATGCGCTCCTAATCATTCGCGCGATAAGTAGCGAGCGGCTGCTGCGGCAGCCGGCCACGGCCGAACTCGTCCTTGGACTCTGGGGTGTCTACGACCCCGAGAGGGGTTTTACACGCCCTTAGGCTCGCCTCTGCAAAGGTGCAAAAGAACATGAGTTCGAAGGGCAGGAGGCGTCGAGACACGTGAGACACGCGACTATCGCCTTCTTCTTGATGCGGGACGTTCTCATGGATTTTTTAATATCGATAGATCGACCATCGAGTCGGCGAATAGTCCAGAGATCCGATTTAAAAAGCAGTAACTTCGCAAACTTTATTTATCTCTCGTTTTATTCGTTATATCTCTTTAAAATTGAAATTCTCTTTTGAGGAGTCTTGGATATATATTTTAACAATTCTTTCGATTCCCTGCGCCAACAAGGTGAAAATGTAAGGATGCACGTATGGTATGACATATGTAATTTAATCTTGAGTATTTCGTATGAAATCTGGAATCTCCGTTCAAATACGAAAACGCGGGTGAAGGAAGGGTGAGGCGAGTAGCGACGAGGCGAAGAGAAACGCAAGTTTTTCTTTATGCCGTAAAGCGAAATACACAGTGTCGGTCACGTGTACATCGATATGACCCAGAAAACGTATACACCGGCGGCAGATCTTCCTCATACTAAGAAATAAAACTTGGAAAAGAAGCGTCCACAAGTAGTTCTGCGGAAAATTTTCCATCATTGTTATCATAAGAAAAAATTTCCAAAACGGAATTAAATTAAATAAAGATCAATTGTTTCCGTATCGAATTTCTGCCGTTTGCGTAAAATCCTCACGGGAGCCTCGATGCGCACGCGTTTGCTCTTCGGGGGGGGTACGGTAGAGGAGGTTTCGTACGTAATAAAGATTAATCATCCTTGGAGATAGAGGATCTGCCGATCAGAACGAAAACTTACATAGTCCTCCTACCTTGGAGGTCTTGGCGTAGGTCGCTGCAGCTCTTCCCGGCTTTCGCCTGGCCGACGGCGGCGTTCGTATGGCGATGGCGGATGGCGGACGTGGCGGTCACGACGGGTCCCCCCGGGCCAGGACTCGGGGTACGCGACGCGGGTGGCAGCCCCAGGAGGGAGTCAAGTACGTCCTCCAGGGTCGTGGAGCCCGGGCTCGGTTTGTTCCGCAGAAGAGCTGCCGTCGCCATCGCCTCGTCCGTATCGCTCTGGCCCGATCCTGATCATCGGTATCATGCGGGGGTAAAGAAGAGACAGAGAGGTTTGCGTCATCCTCTTGGCCTCGAAAGTGTGTATGTGTGTGCGCGTATTTGTGTAACGTATTGTATGTGTAGATGTGTATGCGTGTGGCGAGAACGAGACAAGAGCTTTTTCCTATTTTCCGTTAACTCCGTGATTAATAACAAAGCGATTACTCGTTGTCCCTTTTAATCTGATCCAGCATTACAAAAGGAAACAATTACGCATTATGCATGTATATGTATGTGTATGCGTGTGTACCCGGATGAAAATGGAATAAACCTTTCCCATTGGGGTCCCACTGACCGTTTGGCCTCATTAAGCGTAAAGCGATTCCTTTTTCCCACTGCGCTTTTAAATTAATTTCGTTTAAATTTCTCTTAGCCTCGAAAATCCGTACGTTCGTCATGTCTAGAAGATGACGAATTTTTGCTAATTTCATCAGCAGCCGGCCAAAACTACCGCGCAGCTTACGGTTTACAAAGTAATATATCTGTGTTATGTGCCATATTAAATACGTTTACATTATCAAATTTGCTAATTATCGATCATTCGATCGAGCAACCATTTAATATCATCAATTGTGCTTTACGCGCACATTACAAGTGCGGTTGTCGAATTACATACAGAAAAATAACACAGAACTCGATTGCTTGACGTCGTAGTCGAGAAAGCAACAAAATTCTGCAGCACTTACCGTGACATAAGCGGAATGTAGTACACAATGCGACTAAAGTGGGTGTATGTAGAAAACGTTCACGTTGGGTAATCGCGCTATTAAATCGGTTCCATTCAAAAATGTACATAAATAACTCTCGATATTTGCACTGTATCAACTATCACGATCAAGATCGTGATGCGAACCGATTTAACAGAACGAATACACAGAAGTGACAGGAAAAAAAGATCATCAATGTGTAAAAC